TGAAACCAACAGTGGGGGAGCGGGGGCGGGAAGAAGTGAAGGGTAGCCAGTCTTTACTGGGCAGTACAGACCAAGGTATGCCCCAGGGGAACACGGACTCCCCAGATAGTGCATCCCTTGTCAGGAGATTGAGGTCTCAGTTTCAGCATCTCCTGCTGGTGAGATGGGCACTCCAGCTGCTGTAGGTCCTCTCCCTTCCTCGATGATTTCTTCTCATAACAGAGATCATCTTCTTTTCCAGGGCTTGGGGTGGTGCATTGTGACGTGATATGGATCAGGTCCTTCTAGATGACAGGAGGGCCTCTGGCTGTGGCTCACGTTCCAGGGCTGGTGGCGCATGCACACGTGTGACCCTGAACACTCTAAACACAAGGCGGGGAGGTGCCATTGGGACACCTGGATGGCCGCTGGCCTCTTCTTCATGGCAGAGCCTCACTCTGAGTCCCTGGTTGTTGTAAAATGTGGAGTCTTCAGTCACTGTGTCTTGGGATGTGTAGCATGTTTAATTCTATCACCAAAGGCCTCTGGTTGACTTATTAATGGATTTTAAAAATAAGTTGGTCTTGGTAAAACAAATATTTGATGAATATTTTTAATCTCTTCCTGAGTGGTTCTAGCCACAGGGTGTTAATCCAGGGGGGCTCCCAGAGAGGCCACCATGCAACTAGCTGTAAATCACTGGCTCTGAAGAAGGTTCTTTCTTCTCCTGCCTCTTGGAGTGATAGAAAATATAGAATTGGGGTGAAAGAGGGATTGTTTTGTGTGCGTGTTGGCTTGTGCGCTTTTGTTTTGGTTGGTCATTATTGTTTGAAAGAGAAGTCACCGTCAGCACATACAGAAAGTTTAGGATCAACAGATATTTACTTGAGGCCTGGTCTATAGGGACTGGGGCTCTTACGTGAGCTTTCATACTGAATCCCGCCATCTTGGGAGGAAGGTGCTCCTGCCCACACTTCACTATCCGGTCTAGTGGGTGAGGGTAAACGACCGCTGTGTGCAGGGCAGCCTCTCCCCACACAGCTGACCCTCCACCCAGGAGGAAAGAAAGCAACCTCAGGGTTAGCTGTCTTCTCAGCATTACAAAATGACTGTGACCCACACTGCGTGGTTGTTACCTGTCCAAGATCATTCTGGGCACGCTCCTTGTAGTAACCCATTTCAACCTCACGACAGCTCCATGAGGTAGGTCCTGTCATTAGCTTCAGTGCACTATCCCTCGATGCAGACAAGCTCCCTAATGGCAAAATTGTAAACTTTTCCATTTCCATCACCTGTTCCGCATGCTTTTTCTAAACTGGAATGCAATTTTAAAAGATTAATAAAATGCTGTGGTACACCAGCAAAACAAGAAAAAGGAACAAAATAGCTATTCTAAAGCTGGCAGATTATGATGAATTTGAAGATTGAAATATTTGAAAATACGCCATTTGCTCAGTTTAGATTATATGACAAAAATTAGAGTACTGACTCTGCTTCAGTAAATTTCTTTATGAATGCGAGTGCTGCTGCCTATGTAGATTTATTGAACTTATTTCAAAAGAAGATACCCTCCTCAGAGCCAGGAACGGGCAGGGAAGCAGTACTGCTGCTAGTCATCCTTTCCAAACTTCTTTAAAAACCAGGCTGTATTGCACGGTTGTAGTGAAGATGCAACACTTCTACCTCTTAAACTGTGACTTCCATTTTGTGGTATAATTAAGGGCAATTACTCTAGTTAGAGATTCTAGCCTGAGTGAGGCTGAGTTAATAAATAGCTGTTTGCCTCTAGCATTAGCAAGAGGTATCTTCATTAAGGTAGTGATGTTGTTAGGTACGCTAAGTAGGTTACCATGGTATTTGTGGGTTTCAGCCTGGACTCTGGCTCTTCCTGAAATTAAAAATGTTCATTCTTCAGTAAAATGTTCTTCCTTACACAACAAAGCAGAAGGGACATTAAACGGGTGAAATGACTAGGGCTCAGGAACTCCCTGCAAAGGCTAATTAATGCATGGATACTTTAAGATAACTATTAACTCTGACAGGTTTTGTAAAAAAAAAAAGGCTGCTTAATCTCTGTATCTGTCCATCCATCCATCTGGAGGGAATGTTGTCTAGCACATGGAAAAGCTGCTGCTCTCCTTCAGAAAACCCTGCCCACACACCAGACCAACTAGTTCACAGGGATTAGGTCTAATCAATCTTTGAATACACAGCTTGACACACAACAGATGTTCAAGAAATGTGTGCTAAATGAATGCATAAATTCTGCCTACCCTTAGGCCAAATCAGTGTAAGAGACATTTTAAATTGTGTGTGATTGTACCGCTGACTGACTTGGGGCAGTATTTGAAGACAGTGCATTGTCCCCAGGTGCTGGGACAAAGCCCTGGAAAGTGGGAGAGACAATTGGCCTGTGTAGGAACAAGGCATTGTTATTGAATTAACTCACATGGCAGTTCTCAGAGAGTCATCAGGCCAGCCGATTCAGGTTCCGAATCTACTCAAGATCCTGGATAATGTTGAGAAGTTATATTATTTCCACAGGTATACAGTTAACTATAGAAAGAAAAGTGGTAACGTTCTATTGTAGTTCTATGCAATCAGTTTCATTATGAAATTTTTAATTTTCTTAAGACCCTGGGGAAAACACTCAAAATGTAAGGCCTGTTTTTTTCGTGCCTTCTATGCCTGTGTCATGGAAAAATTATTTAGCAGAGAAGTACAAAATAGTCCTGATTCAGATGGGAGAAGGATCCATAAGCTGCCAGTCAAAACTGTCCAGCTCACCTGTGCTGTTTTTCTATTATTTTGATTAACCTGATGGATGATTCTGAGCAAAATCTTTCTTTTTTACAGATTTCCTCAAAGATGTGTAGTCCTAAATGTCATCTTTCTAATTTGAGAAAGGGGCTTGGGAAGCTCTATGGGAAGATAAAGACTAAAATTGAAAGGATTTTCTAGTTAAACCTCAGTTATTTAGAAAATTCTGGTAAAGAGGACATGGTATTTCTCAGATGCCCAGTTAACATTAACTTCTTTGCCTAGTACATAGTAGAAGGTAATTAATATATCAGATTATATAGTATTACCTTATGGAAAGTCTGAAATTTGTTTTTATTGGTAAGTAAAAGCATCAACTGATGTTTCTAGAATCTGTACCATAATTTTTATTTATTTTTTTGTTGAAGGATAATTGCTTTACAGAATTTTTTTGTTTTCGGTCAAGCCTCAACATGAATCAGCCATAGGTATACATGTATCCCCTCCCTTTTGAATCTCCCTCCTATCTCCCTCCCCATCCCACCCCTCTAGGTTGATACAGAGCCCGTTTCCTGAGCCACACAGCAAATTCCCATTGGCTGTCTGTTGTACACATGGTAACGTAAGTTTCCATGTTACTCTCTCCATACATCTCACCCTCTCCTTCCCTCTCCCCACGTCCATAAGTCTGTTCTCTATGTCTGTTTCTCCACTGCTGCCCTGTAAATAAATTCTTCAGTACCATTTTCCTAGATTCTGTATATGTGCATTAGAATACAACATTTATCTTTGTCTTTCTGACTTACTTCACTATAATAGGTTCTAGTTTAATCCATCTCATTAGAACTGACTCAAAGACGTTCCTTTTTATGGCTGAGTAATAGTCCATAGTGTATATGCACCACAACTTCTCCATCCATTCATCTGTCAATGGACATCCAAGTTGCCTCCATGTTCTAGCTGCTGCAAACAGTGCTGCAGTGAACAATGGGATACATGTGTCTTTTTCACTTTCGGTTTCCTCGGGGTATGTGCCCAGGAGTGGGGCTACTGGGCCACATGGCAGCTCTGTTCCTAGTGCTTCAAGGAATCTCCACACCGTCCTCCACAGAGGCCGCATCGACTTACATTCCCACCAGCGGTGCAAGAGTGCCACCGCCCCCCCCCCCACCACCACCACCACACACACCCTCTCAAGCACTCACTGTCTGTAGACTTTTTGATGAGAGATTATAGTTGAAAATTTCCCCAACATGGAAAAGGAAATAATCAAGTCCAAGAGGCTCAAAGAGTCCATACAGGATAAACCCAAGGAGAAACACACCAAGACACATACTAAAACAAAGACTAAACACAAAGAAAGGATATTAAAAGCAGCAAGGGAAAAGCCACAAGTAACACACAAGGGAAACTCCATATGTTTAACAGCTGATCTTTCAGCAGAAACTCTGCAGGCCCGAAGGGAATGGCAGGATATATTTAAAGAACTGAGAGGGAAATTCTGCAACCAAGATTACTGTACCCAGCAAGGATCTCATTCAAAACTGATGGAGAAGTAAAAAGCTTTTCAGACAAGCAAAGGTGAGGAGAATTCAGTACCTCCAAACCAGCTTTACAACAAATGTTAAAGGGACTTATATAGTCAAGAAATACAAGAGAAGAAAAAAGATCTACAAAAGCCAACCCCAAACAATTAAGGAAATGGCAATAGGAACATTTATATCAATAATTACTTTAAATGGAAATTAATTAAATGCTTCAACCAAAAGACACAGGCTGGCTGAATGGATACAAAAACAAGACCCATATATATATGCTGTCTACAAGAAACCCACTTCAGACCTCAAGACACATACAGACTTAAAGTGAGAGGATGGAAAAATATATTCCATGCAAGTGGGAAGCAAAAGAAAGTTGGAGTAGCAATCCTCATATCAGACAAAATAGACCTTAAAATAAAGAATATTACCAGGGATAAGGAAGGACACTTCATGATGATCAGGGGATCAATCGAAGAGGAAGACATAACAATTGTAAATGTCTATGCACCCAATGTAGGAGTACCTCTGTGTGTGTATTTTTTTTTTAATGTAGACATAAATTAGATATTAAACAACTATAACATAGCAACTGGTTGAGTTTTCAGATGGTATGAAAAGCATTTATCAAGTTGGCCTAATCTGTTGCATGTTTGTATCATAGTTAATTTCTTGTCCCTAATAAAAGTTCAGGTGGCTAATGGATGCTGTTCCTTTCTCTAGGTTTATTTCAATCTACAGAGGACCCAGCCACACCTATAAGGTCCAGAGGCTGACGGAATTCACATGCTACTCCTTCAGAATCCAGGCAGCCAGCGAGGCTGGGGAAGGGCCCTTCTCAGAAACCTACACCTTCAGCACAACTAAGAGTGTCCCCCCCACCATCAAAGGTTTGTGGACCATGTATTTCCGTGTGCTAATCTATGAGGAAATGTTGGGATTTAGCTGTAGGAGGCTCAATTCTGACCTTAAATGTGCTCTCCTAATATTTCTCTTATTAGCCAGATAGAATCAAAAGAACTTTCTGAAAGAGAAGATTGGGAAATGGGTTCTACAGGGGGAATGAGAGGCCTTAAAGGAGATGGCTTACTGGTGTGACTTCTCTTGAGTACATGTAAATTATTATCACAAATAACAGTGAGGCAGTCTTATCCCCACAGGAGATAGATGGGCCGGGGGAAGAAAGAGACCAGAGCGACAGATGTTGGGTTAGGAATGCAGGTGAATTCCTGGTGGTGTAATGCTCATGGAGTTTACCACAGAGGTTTGAGTACCTCCCTTCAACAGTTGATCCGCATCTTTGGATGCCCTTGGTGTGTAAATGAGAGGCTAACAAGGGTGGCATCCCCACCTTCCCTCCAACCCACAGCTCTCACGGGAAGGCTGCAGCACCAGGCTGTCCTCATCTCCTGGAGTATTTGTCTTGAGGTTTGTGAATGACTGGTTGTCTCTCTGCCCACTTCATGGGATCAGGGAGTGAGCAAAAGCCAGCTCCACTCAAGCTCTCCCTCTACCAGGTCTGCTCAATCCTTGTCTCCCGCTTTCAGCCAGAGTGCTGCCTCTGCACAGCAGACCTGCCAGGCAGACAGCAACAGGGCAAAGCTGGTTCATCCCTTCTCACCAGTGCTGGGCCCAGGTCCAGGGCCTCTAGGACTCTTGAGTCTGCACCCTCCCCTCCCCGGTACCCCCTCCCCTTCTTTGCTTTATCCAGCTGCTGCCCAAAATGACTCTGAGGCTGACAGATATACTAGCAGCCCACCTGAACCCGGTTTTACATGGGGTCAAGTGAGGGTTGGCTCTGTTATTTGAGGTGCTAGGCAATGAGCACAAATTATGTATTTGGCCCCAAGAGCTAGGCCATTTGAATCACTGCTTCCACACAAAGAGCTGTATCGGATACACCAGGACATGGAGTGCATTACAGGAGGGTGTGGGTCCTCCAGGGCCTGAGTCAGGGTCTGACTCAAAATCTGTTAAGGTTTCCCATAGGAAACCTTAGAATTGCAGAGTAACTTAGAATTGCTTAGAATCAGTAGTGTGCAACTCTTTGCCACTCCATGGACTGTAGCCCGCCAGGCTCCTCTATTGATGGGATTTCCCAGGCAAGAATACTGGAGCGGGTTGCCATTTCCTACTCCAGGGGATCCTCCCGACCCAGGAATAGAACCCACATCTCCTGCATTGCAGGCAGATTCTTTACCACTGAGGCACCAGGGAAGCCCCCTTGCAGGGTACTTTATGGTACATGCCTTCCCTGTGCTCCCCTGGCCCTCAGGGGTCCAGAAGCTCTTTGACTTCTTCCTGTGACTAAGGTACTGATGTAAATGGATGTAGACTTCTGGGTCACTTGGGTACTAAACGCCCTGGCACTTTGGCGTGGCTTTGCCTTTCAGCTGTAACAGGAGATTCCTGACCATGCTGTGGTTGATAGGTTTGTTGTTGTAACAGGGAGGTTTGCCACATTTTACCAGTTAGCTAAATAAGTACGGGGGTTCTTCCAACACTATCTTTGCCTCTGAAAGTGATTATTGAGGTAGATTCATCTTTTGGAAAATACACCACCAAATTAATAGTCCTTGTAGGTCTTGGTACTTCTTCAGGTGGACCATGTCCTCGCGCTGCCACACTACCCAGTCTTCCTCTCACTTTTAGATTCGGAAGTTGTCAGAGCTGGAGGACTATGGTTGGCGGAGATTCTTCCTTTAGCTTTTCCATAAATTTCAGCCAACTCATACAAACTTTTTTTTTAAAGGCAACTTTTATTTTTCTGAAATAGTGTTGTACAGAATTGAAAGTAGAAACAACTGCCTCTAAAGAATTCATGTAATTAGAAATTTAAAATAAGGGCATTCAGTGAGAGGGGTTACACATGCTAGTCACAAAATGGAAACATATCAGATATTGAATATAAGAAAAAATTAAAATTTTATAGCCTGTAAGTGCTTTGCTACAAACTAATATAATTTCACTTTAAACCGGAATGATGAGTCCAGTAGATAGAAAATTATAATATACGAACGTAAGATAACTTTTACAGGCTTATGTTGAAGGCCACCTGCTCCTCAAACCTTTCTCAGACCCTCACATGAACGCGACCTCCCTCCCCTGGAACTCCCCAATGTTTTCCTTGTACCTCTCATTCCCATCTGGCCTACGTTATGTCTGCTTGCCTATTTTTGTTTCATACCTTTCTCTCTGCTTCCCTTAACTACATCTTAACTTCCTTGAAAGCAGTGTCCAGTTTTGCAAAGTACCTCACACAGGACTTAATCATAGAAGGTTCTCATTAGCCTTAAGAAAAAAAAATGAGAATGCAAGTCAGGTCAAGCAGGTATTAATACGATAGTGAGCAAAGGACTCTTCGCCAGTGAATTCAGTGCCTTCTCTTTGTAAAGGGTGTCCTGATAGATTTCTAGGGGGCTGGACAAATAAACTCCCCTCCCAGGGCTGGCACAAGCACACTCTCCCTCTCTCAGATTCTCAGTAATATTACTGAAATACTGACCATTTATATGATACTTTGAATTTTTGACCATGAATGTGTGGATTTGTATTTCAGCACCTCGAGTAACACAGTTAGAAGGAAATGCGTGTGAAATTTTATGGGAGACGGTACCACCCATGAAAGGCGACCCTGTCAACTACGTTCTGCAGGTGTTGGTTGGAAGAGAATCTGAGTACAAACAGGTGAGAAGCAGCATGTGTAGCATGTGTGTGGCCTGTCAGTCTGGTTGGCTCCTGGCCTCTGCCTGTTGCTGTGAGGATTCAGTGGCAAGTGAACTACATTTTTCTTAAAATCAATTGTAGAAGCTGATTCACAAGTACCCATTAGCTAACTCTTTATAAGAAGATAAGCTAGAGCTATTATATCCTATTTTCAGTTTCTCAAGCATGATCTTATGGGTTTTAAGTTCTATATTTCTATTTGATATTGCTTATGGTATTCACAAGTATCAAACTGTGTATGTATCAAAAACTGTGTCAGTGATTTTACTCTAGAGGGAAAAAGAGTCAGCCTAATTACCGAAGCCCCTGTTCCATCTGCCTTTTTTACGGAAGTTATAATTGAAGGATGAGGAAGGAAGAAGAGGACTTATCAGCCCTCAAGGCTATGATTCAGAAGCTTTGGGTCACTGTTTGTCGTCCTTTAGTGTGCGTAGGATCATATGAGAATCTGTTCATGTGGATTTTGATTCAGTCAGTCTGGGGTCATGGTTCAAGTCCCCAGGTAACACTGATGTTGCTAGTGCATGGACCATGTTTTGAGTAGCAAGACTATACATATCACATGATAAAGATTTGGGTTTATCATTCATTACACCCTTTTTGATCCTGATTCTTCCAGAGCCACTCATTGTCTTGTCACTAGCTATGAAAGATTCAACTACTCTGTAGGTTTCCATAACATTCCCAGAAACTTAATAACTATGTAAAAGCAGAATATAACACTGTTGCTCTGTTAAGAAAGCTGAGACCCGCTCCTTACCAGCACTTGTAATAGAGGTGTGCATTTACATCAAACTCAAGAAATTGAAGATAAATGCCACCTGCCTTCTGAATCTTTATCATAATTTACAAAAACTTCTTTATTCATTTAAAGAATAAAGGCTCCAGATACACAAAACAAGTAGAAAAAACAATTCAGAGCTTGTGTTAGTTCACTGGTTAACATCCCTCATATAATAATAATGTGTAGAAAGAAAGAAAATTTTAGTAAATTTCATAATCCTTTGTTACTATGAAGTGTCAGATTAAAAAGTGAATTGCTTTAAACACATTTTGCAAAAACTTGTTTTAAATATGACAGCCACCAGTGTTGTTTAACATCAGTGGGTGGTTTCACCAGTTTCCATCATTCCTCTTAAATAAGAGCAAACACACTCTTGTTTCCTTTCACCTTAGAATCTCATTTTATACAGTATATTTCATTTCACAGTAAATACTTTTTTAATTTATTATAATTGGAGACTAATTACTTTACAATAAAGTAGTGTGGTGGTTTTTGCCATACATTGACGTGAATCAGCCACGGATATACATGTGTCCCCCGGTCCCAAACCTCCCACCCGCTTCCCTCCCTATTTCATCCCTCTGGGTTGTCCCAGTACACCGACTTTAAGTGCCCCGTTTCAGGCATAAAACTTGGACTGGTGATCTATTTCATATATGGTAATATACATGTTTCAATGCTGTTCTCTCAAATCATCCCACCCTCGCCTTCTCCCAGAGTCCAAAGTCTGTTCTTTATATCTGGGTCTCTCTTACTGTCTTGCATATAGGGTTATCATTACCATCTTTCTAAAGTCTATATATATGCATTAGTATACTGTATTGGTGTTTTTCTTTCTGACTTACTTCACTTTGTATAATAGGCTCCATTTTTCATTAGAACTGACTCAAATGTGTTCTTTTGAATAGCTGAGTAATATTCCATTGTGTATACGTACCACAACTTTCTTCTTCATTCATCTGCCGATGGACATCTAGGTTGCGTCCATGTCATAACTATTATAAACAGTGCTGCAATGAACATTGGGGTGCACGTGTCTCTTTCAGTTCTGGTTTCCTCGGTGTGTATGCCCAGGAGTGGGATTGCTGGGTCATATGGCAGTTCTATTTCCAGTTTTTTAAGGAATCTCCACACTGTTCTCCATGGTGGCTGTACTAGTTTGCATTCCCACCAGCAGTATAAGATGGTTCCCTTTTCTCCACACCCTCTCCAGCATTTATTGTTTGTAGACTTTTGGATAGCAGCCATTCTGACCGGCATGAGATGGTACCTCATTGTGGTTTTGATTTGCATTTCTCTGATAATGAGTGATGTTGAGCATCTTTGCATGTGTTTGTTAGCCATTTGTATGTCTTCTTTGGAGAAATGTCTGCTTTAGCTCTTTGGCCCATTTTTTTATTTGGCTGTTTATTTTTCTGGTATTGAGCTGCATGAGCTGCTTGTATATTTTTGAGATTAATTGTCAGTTGTTTCATTTGCTAATATTTTCTCCCATTCTGAAGGCTGTCTTTTCACCTTATAGTTTCCTTCATTGTGCAAAACCTTTTAAGTTTAATTAGGTCCCATCTATTTATTTTTGCTTTTATTTCCGTTACTCTGGGAGGTGGGTCATAGAGGATCTTGCTGTGATTTATGTCAGAAAGTGTTCTGCCTATGCTTTCCTCTAGGAGTTTTATATTTTCTTGTTTTACATTTAAACCTTTAATCCATTTTGAGTTTGTTTTTTTGGTATGGTGTTAGAAAGTGTTCCAGTTTCATTCTTTTACACGTGGTTGACCAGTTTTCCCAGCACCACTTGTTAAAGAGATTGTCTTTTTTCCATTGTATATTCTTGTGTCCTTTGTCAAAGATAAGGTGTCCATAGGTGTGTGGATTTATCTCTGGGCTTTCTATTTTGTTCCATTAATCTATATTTCTGTCTTTGTGCCAGTACCACACTGTCTTGATGACTGTGGCTTTGTAGTAGAGTCTGAAGTCAGGCAGGTTGATTCCTCCAGTTCCATTCTTTCTCAAAATTGCTTTGGCTATTCAAGGTTTTTTGTGTTTCCATACAAATTGTGACATTATTTGTTCTAGTTCTTCACAGTAAATAATTTTACATGTGTTACTGTTTCAACTTACCTCAAAGATATGATTGGTTTCAGAGTTTCAGCTCACATGGAGAATAGAGGATTTTTTTCTCCCACTAGGTTTAGTCATCTTTAACACCAACAGAAAGGTCCTGTCCCATAGCATTGTAAAAATGGGTTAAAGGACAAAGTGTTACAAAATTTTACAACATATCATTTAACACTTAACAATATTCACTTCCCAACAGTACATTCATCACTGTATTTTATAAACCTTTTCTCCAGGTACCATGCATTTCTGCTTGTTCTTGGGTAAATGTTCTGCTTCTCAAAGCACACTGATTAATGCTTTTTCAATGAAAAACACCATTTACTCAATACCTATACATCAGGCATTGCCAGAGTGTAGGTTAACTCAACTTAGATTTTATTGGTAGATGTGCTGCTTTGAATCTTGCTGTTTAATGCTAAAATATTTTAACTCATGAACATAAAAATACTAGTATACAATTACATATATGCTTCAATATATATTTCTTATTATAAACAAACAGCTATAAATTAGAGTTTCTTGGTGAAAACAGTTAAACCAGGGCGGGCTCAGTAGATAGGAATTAGCAATCTTCTTGTAACCATGTGTTTCCTGCATTTACCAAGAAATGATTAAGGCAGGTAGTGGTACATGAAAAGTTGCAGTTGAGTCAGGGACAATTTGTACTGAGTTTTTCGCTTCTCCCTATTCGGTAAGCATTAACTTAAGCATGATGTTTTGAGCCCTACATTCACTTGTTCTGGACACAAGATAGGGAATGAAGCCTGTTTATATTATGTGTGCAAAATAATAGTTAATTATAGTCCAGAGATAACAGGCTTTGAATTCATAGAGGCAAAGGAAAAGAAAATGAGAGGTCATCATTGCAGAGCATACACCACGGCAGAGCTGTGGGCTTATAGGAAGCACTGTGTATACTTCAATTACAGCACTAATCACACAGGATCCACTAATGTGTGGGCTTGTGTTATTCATTTTTATCTTCCCAGGACTGGAACATAGCTAGGCACTCTGTAAATGTTTTTTGCATGCATGAAAGAGGCCTGTTTCAAAGGAACAGGGTGATTTATACTTGCAGTGGGGATGAAAATTAAACTTGACCATAGGGGGGATTTAGAAGTGATATTTGTAACTTAGGTGAAAAAAATCACCCATCATAGGGCAGTGGCTTCTGTTCCCCACGCTCATGTTTTACAGGCAACATATGGCAAGGGCCAAGGCTTTTGCTGATATTTTGCCGGAAACATTGAGTTAAACTCTGTAATTAGCTTTCTTTTGTTTAGCTATCATGATGTAGGGTGAGCAGCTGGTTCTAATTATGAAACAGTCTATTAACTTCAAGTATTAAGTCCTCACCTAAAGTTTTACTCTGCATTAGTATGCATGCATATATTGATTTGGCTTCTCTGCCATTTAAAAAGTCTTTTCAAGCATAAGCTTTTTTTCAAGAAGCTTAAAAGTTCTTTTCAGACATTAATTATAAAGCATTCAAGAAAAAAATGAAAATTCTGTGTATATCCAGGTGACTTTTTTCACCTCACAAGACAGAACATAAGCACTTTTATAATCAAGAAACTGAAATGATACACATTCAGATAGCAACGATTTTTATATAAAGTGTGTAAATAAACACTGAAGGTAAGAAAAGGGTAACAAACTCTAAGAAAGTATTACCTACTGGGAGCCAAAATTTTTGACATATTATTAATACTGTTGCTGCTCAGATTTATTGCATTAAGAAAACGTTTGAAGCATCTAAAAATTCATAGAGCTCCACGTTTAACTTGATGGCATCTCTGAATTTATTTTGTATCATTTTTAAAATATAGTATTGGGACATGTATTGATTCTTTGTGGTATCACACAAGGTATTGTGAAGAAAGATCTTCTCTTGACCTTGATGGAATGATTTTAAAGACTTGGAGCCTGCATATTTTTTAATGGTTTGCAATTTAATTCCCTAACAGAAATGAAACAGGCTGTGATTGTCTATTTTCATAAAGGTTCAAATCCAAAGTAAGAATAGATCAAGATGGGAATATTTAAAAGCTATTAT